CCCAAACAACCCAACCCAAATTTACTGATTTGCGCTTTACGAAGAGTGGGGAAGACGGGCACCTGTTACTGACATCATTAATGGATTCAAGAAACCGCTCCTATAAATGCCTGGAACACACTCACACCGTCTATCAACACGCTGCGGTCAGTTCATTCCCTGGAAGTTTCAACCCTTTTTCAAAGCGGATAGTGGCTAGTCGGAAGGACCATGTGGTTTTTCGTTTATTACCCTTCAGTGAACATGTTTTTGTTTTCCACTTGTCTTTTTCTAGTTGTACAGATTTTCCATGACCGCTTCATCTTGTTACCGTAATTTCTGTCCACCCTGTATAATATATGGAGGCGATATTTGTGGCGAAACCAGACATGGGTTAGTTGCAACTGTGATTACTACGCAAATAGGGACTGCTTGTGTCCATCACTGCTGGCCATTGCTTTCCATTCTCGCCACATGGTCAGTATGATGTAACCCCGTACACGCTCCTGTAGGTCGCTTGTGAATATTGCAATACACCATCGGCTGTGCATCAGAGCAGCATTCTTATCAAGGAGGATCAGCCAAAGGCGGAAATACGAATGAGAGAGAAGGGTGTCGTCTTCTCTACCAATTGCTCCATTCTCCTGTCGTTCTTGGGGATTAGAGTCAGGAACCTTCGTTGCCGCAATGTAGTATCAGTCCTCGCCCTCCTCATCAACACATTCTCGCTCAATCATGCTTTCATTTGGAAGCGAATCACTAGTACTTTGAGACGGTAAAAGGTACGACTCCATACATTCTTAAGTAGAACCATAACTACGGACTCTGTATTGTAATACGGAATGCGCTGTAATGAGTAAGAGAATGCCGCATTCAGCTCTTTCAAGCACTTGGTACGACGGAAATCCAGCCTGGGGAATGCGTGGTTTTGCGAATGACAAGGTCAGTGAACTTTGCTCTCAAAATCGCGGGACCAATTTTTCATATTGTAGGTGTCGCGAGAAATGGGTATCGGTCATATTCGACAAGTGCGGTCGGTGCCATTAAAGGAATGCAATACAGAACCCCAGCTTGGGCAATACTTCCACAATTGTAGTACCGACTTTTCTCCTAGGTATGCTTTATAAGACGAGCCAATACTATCAAAAACACATTCATTTTGAAGGCTTTTGACTGAAAACACGTGCTATCATTGTCATAGATTTCGATAGAATATGCAGGGTGGGGTATGCATTTTCGTGAAGTTTTTTTCTCACACCACATTAAGCTTCAGCACCGAAGACTTCACTCCACAGTACGCTGCTGGTTGGAAGAAATATGAAGCGACGCCCGGCTCATCGCCACCTTTGGAATACCGCTACCTAACTTCGGATGAGCTACAAAGTATGTGATTTCATATACAATGTCACCCCCTTGTCGTCTTTGTTCCGGGAAATAGCTGCTACTTTTGTATAGTAATTTGCGCTCACCACTTGAGTGAAGACATTGTGCTTAGCGTTTCTCTTCTCCAGGATGGTAGATTTTTGACTGATCAGGAATGATCATTCAGTCAACCCGGCCTGAAATGAGATGTATTTATATGTCTACAGGGTGGGGTATAAATATGGTGACAAAATAATTGTGGCTCCAGGAAGTTCGAACCAGAAAGATGGGAACGAAGTATCATCTCCAGTAACTTATGACCATATCCATGGCAATAATTGTCACCATTTCTACACAAATTGGCTGGCTATGAACGTAGATGTTTTCTTCAAACTTCTCCTATAAAAAATGGCCCTTCCCCGACATCATCTCATTCTTTTTGAAGAGCAGCTGTTAGCTACCCATTCAAACTGTGTTGTTTCGCGCACTTCTTCAGCTTCAATATCGACCACAATAAATAATCCGCTACATTCAAATCGGAGGTTTTGGCTGGCCAATCTTTGAGCAACCCGAAATCGGACAAGTGGGCAATGCAGCAGACTTTCACAAAATTGATCCACAAACCGCTCCTTCTAGTGGTGCACTCATTTGAAAGTATAAATAAATAAGTAAATAAATAAATAGACCGGCATACCACCTTGGAAGTAAATCCAATCGTGAGTAGTAGAGGTGGCAGGAGCTTTCTCCAAAATGCCACCTTGGTTAGCATATAGGATACATTCCTGCTCCGAAACAAGAGAAAATACCGAGATGAAAGAATCGCGATTATTCAGGTTTAGTTCATTTCTGAGCTAAAATGTTGTACTTGATTTTCGCTGTTCCTGCTCGCTATCGGAACTCCCATTAATCAATTCCGAATTTTCCTGAATGAAGACATAATCGCCCATGAGAAAAACCATTTTCTTCGTCGGTGTAGTTCTGGGCTACCTTCGTCGCCAGGCCCCAAAATTTCGATATATTTCACTCTTCCCTTCTTTCCCTATCCGAGAAATTGACGCTCATTTTACTTATAAGATTGTTTCCTAATGTTTTTGAAAAACATTAGTCTTCTAAGTCTTCGCTTCATTTCTTATGTCAATCTCGAACCTGTAACCATTCAATCATCCTCACTGAATAATGATGGATAGCCTTTTTGACAATATTCACAGCCACCCTTCGGTTTCCGTAGCCGCTCGCTCTCTACGAGAAGGGCTATTATATGTAATGCGATAGAGAGTTGTGTGACGGTGTGGCGATACGTCCTCCGAAAATAGCAGATGTCGAAAAGAATTCACCTGGCAGTCGAAGATTAGAAATCTCAGTATTTCGGAGTTAGCGGAGCCTTTCACCAAATAGAGATCATGAAGCCTTAAAAACTGACAAGGGAAGGATCCCAGGTCGAAGTGGCCATTCGTAATGAAACCTATACTCACATACGTGTTTTCGGACGCTGATTTCAAATCCGTCCTCCAAATTTGCGGAACGATTCTCTGAACAGAGTTACAAAGGTTTCAAATGAATGGCCGTTAGAAGAGACACCCTCAGCCCACTGCCGGCAGCGGCGGCCTGGCAGAGTGGTAGTGGGGCGCATGTTGGTGGTGAGACTATGGTTCGGATCCTGGTCATGATGAAGTTTTTGCATTTTGTAATTTTGCTTGTTTTCAAGCTGAAAGACCATTCAGTGTTGAAATTACGCCATGACAACGCTTTCAAGTGTTTGCAACGTGTTTGCATGCTCCTTTCAAGTACGACCTAATTTCTTTATGAAGTTTTCGATCAATTATTGTACAGGGTAGGGTATGGGGTACTGCCACGTCACAGAAAGTGACGTCATTGTCAGTGACAGAGACCAATCTATAAACGGCAAAGATACCAACAACAGAACACGTTGCAAACACTTGACAGCGTGTCATGGCGTAATTTCAACACTGAATGGTCTTTCAGCTTGAAAACAAGCAAAATTACAAAATGCAAAAACTTCATCATGACCAGGATCCGAACCATAGTCTCACCACCAATCATGCGCCCCACTACCACTCAGCCAGGCCGCCGCTGCCGGCAGTGGGCTGAGGGTGTCTCTTCTAACGGCCATTCATTTGAAACCTTTGTAACTCTGTTCAGAGAATCGTTCCGCAAATTTGGAGGACGGATTTGAAATCAGCGTCCGAAAACACGTAGGTGAGTATAGGTTTCATTACGAATGGCCACTTCGACCTGGGATCCTTCCCTTGTGAGAATCATATACAACAGACAATGGCGAATCTGATGGTCTGGTCAGAGCTCTGTCATTGTTTAGTGTATGCATTTGCTGTGGTTCAGTCTTGTCACCATATTTATGCCTCACCCTGTATAGCGCCTTAGAACGCTGAACTCAAATCCTTAGCTTTCCTTGTCAGCGAGTTATTCTCAGAAAAGAATTTGTAACACAAATAGGAAAATTCCCAACGTCGCTAGTCCGAAATATTTGCGCATAGCACTCACGAAGAACTTAGGGGCAATTAGTAACAAATATGGGCGGCATTTGCTACTCTAGAAAAGACAAAGATAGCGTCCGGTCTGTCCATCTGCGTTATCAAAGGATCTTCAGGGCAGTCTTCCCAAATACAACACTCTGTCCTCAATATCGCCCATGATTGACCACCCCTAGAATTGGAATTTGGGGAGTGGTAGTTCCATCCCTGCTCCTCTTTTCTCTTTTTCACAACTAGGTCATGACCTTATGTTTGACTAACAACCTTTTTCTAGAGGTAGTTTGATTCCCTGAACACGAATTTCGTGAACGAAACCGGAGAGATTTACGTCAATCATGAACCAACTTTCGTCCTTCAAAGTGAGAATGAGTGTCACATCGAGGTTATTGGTATAGTTGTTCTTTGATAGAATTAGTATAAACAGTAGCTCTCTAATCCAGTCGATGTACGAACCTAAGCGATTTTGCTAGGCATTTCAGTAAGACAGTGCGCTCGCACACTAAAGAAAATACTATATCAACACAACTCCCAGTAGGTATTTCTAGCAAAAACTTTGAGCGAAATTGTTTATTTCTATCCAGTGGCGAAAAAAGCAAAGAAACCCTTCGAAAAACGCATAATGGGACCCCTTTCTTTGTCGGTTGAATTATAAACAACCAACTGAGGGGTCATTTGCACTTATCAAACAATGGCCACCATCTTGCTAACGAAAACAGGCTTTAATTTAACACATCCCACAGAAGTGTACTAAATACCGACGGCGGAGCGCAGGCGAAGGCGGAGCTAAGAAAGGCATGGCAAGCCCAGTGCCCTGCAAGGCACCTTACCACTGCTCCAATCGGTGCGCACACATTTTATCGTAATCCCTCGCTTTTGAAAGCACCCCGCCTTTCCAGCTTCCCAACTGTTGTTCCTTTATGAGATCCTCTGGAAGCACATTGCACTCTAGCTTAGATTTGTAGAAAATGGTAACCCTTTAATCAGTATATAAATGTACGAAACTGCTTGAACCAGTCTGGAAAGCACATTCCGGGCTGAACCTTACTATATATTCCTGAGAACAAAAATCAAAATCAACTTCGATGGGTATTTTTCTCAGGCATACCCATCGATGGACAACTCCGAGAATATGGTGGAGGCGGATACTGCATGCTTTTACAAGGACCTACTTCCGATTTGATAGCCAAGCTTAAGAAACTTCAAGACGAAAATTGGATCGACAAGGTTTTGCTGCCTCCCACGCTGAAATTGATTATGGTATTCAACAAATCACCGACATTGTAGAATACGCGAGCCATTTTTGTGGAGTTTTCCATGTTTAACGCTCAAGTGAATTACTTTTCTGTCATCCAGCTGACCATAGAAATCCCAGCGGAAGGTCACCTTGATTTATTTTGTCCACCATATGACAGCTGCTTATTCCATGATTCTAAGGGTACCTACTGCCGTCATCCTGGATAGAATCCGTTCGTCTAATGAGGAGCCACGGAGGTGATGGCAAAGTCAATGTATTGTTTGAGGTTAGATTTTAATATCTCAAACAAATTTCTATTTCTTTATATTCGAATTCATAAGGCTTTTTTTCTACTCTAACTGCGATAAAAATCGAAGGATTAGCGCTGAACTACTCTCTCATGTCTACAGTGATGCAATTCGCGGTCTAACCCGCTCACCCTTCCCACCTTACCACAATTACTGTTTGCCACGCATCCGTTGTTGTGGTGCTCTATAATGTTTGCAGACACTCTATATTGCCTACGCTGTTATAAGCTTCTGTGTGAACACCTTGACCTACGTTACAAACGTAGTGTCCGCATATCGTACTCGACCACGACGATGTAATCCTGTACGACTTTTTGCGCATCTTTTCATAGTGTGAGTACTGTTCTCGATTCTCGAATCACTTTATATGATAAAAGTGAAAAGATGGTAAGCGTGTTAGTACTTCTGTGCCTTACGAGGTTGTCAGGTGGAACTTTTTATTCAGTGGCCTAACGTTTCGACGGAATCGTCGTCTTCAGAGGCCTGAACATGTTTCAAGTTTAGATCTACGCTCTACCCCACCAGCAGCTGAATAAAACGTTCCACCTGACAACCTCGTAAGGCACAGAAGTACTAACACACTTACAACTGAAATGCCGAGGTTGCAAGAAGAGAGAAGCCGGAGAATTGAAAAGAGAGTGCTTACAGACGTTTCTGGGACCTTGTTGATTTATTCGTTGGTATTCTAGCAATCACGTCTGTGATCGCATATTACCTCCGACAAGTATACATTGATAAGGTAAACTTTTTAATTCCTTTTTCGTAGATACATACCCTCTGCTTCAGAAAACCAGAAGAGCGCCGGATGCAGCCCACGCCACAAGTGACGAAGGTAGTGGTTCATGGTGATAGTTGATAATTAGTAATCGAGGGTTGTACCTAAAACAGCTGAAAGAATACAACCGCAAGGGCTAATAATTCATTGGCAAAAAAACATATATTTTGTTAGAGATAACAGAGGCCATCGTCAGCTGTGGTTTAAGATCTGCACCCGACGCTGTTCCGGTTTTGAAGCAGAGTACACATAAATGACAGTCTGGTGGAATTGTATGCGTATTGACGCGGAGTGCTACGACCCAATTCATGTGTGGTAATGGACTGAACTTAACGCAACAAATTTGCATTTCCCCTGTTCTCGTTGAAGATTACAAAGTTGCTTGACTATGCCTTAAAGGCCGTTCCGGGATTGGGCACGTTCACCTGTACCATCTCCGAGAGTGGTATTCAAAGGGACAAGCTTGGTGTTATGCCTCTTCCTGTCGCCAAATACAAAATGCGCGACAAATCGCTGGAAGTACACTCCACCCGCAATCTACACATACCTTCGATCGCAATCTCTGCCTTTTGCCGTCAGCTGCCACGTGATGCTGCGAGGAAGGCGTGGGGGCATTTTGGCAGCAGCAGTCTTGCGGTTCAATGTTATCTGCATTGGACCCATGGGTCCATGCAAATCGTTCCCGTTTTGTACTTTAAGGTGGAATGCGGCTAAAATGAGTTTCTCATGCTTTTTTTCATTCGGATCACTCACGACCTCCACCTTCACTGCGAACGCTTTTACACGCTCTCACACTCATTTTATCCCGATGCTTGTCTCCAAACATCAACTGCTTTCTGTGGAAAAGCGCGCACAGAGAGCTCTTAGAATCAACTGCTTTCTGTGGGAAAGCGCGCACAGAGAGCTCTTAGAATTCGGAAGAGTGGTGGATAGGCGATTTGTTACCAATGGATTAGTGAAGCTATTGCTACAAAGGGGGAGGTTGAGCGTATGAGGCCAGGTGTATTGATCGATTTGGTTATAGATATGATGCATGGATGAGGCAAGGAAAGGCATCGCAAAAGTAGGCCGATCATTTCCTTTGGCTTGTGTCACAAATTCGAATTTCATTCTGAACCGCACAAGTTTGCATGCCTTGTTGGAGTCAGTCCATAGTTCGGTTGCTGTTCTAATTGTGCAAGGCAATGCTTTACTCAATATCCGAATACGAATTGAAAAATCCTCATTCCCTAATGCCACCTACGCGGCCACAACCCCTGCCTCCACGTCACGTTTACTTTCCCCGTAGGAACTGTTGCTATATGTTGTGAGTCCTTCGTTGCGAAAGGACTAGCAAATGACCGTATTTGCAGAACTTGGAAAAGTGTTGTGTTGCACTTGCTGACAGTGCTTTCATTTCTCAACCATGCGTGATTTACAGGCGTTGGAGAACTTCGCTGCAACTAACGGCAACGTATATATCAATCTTGAACTGCAAAGGAATGTAGAGCTTCTGTTCACGTTCTGCCTGGCCGGCGTCGTGTTCTTTGTTGCTTGCAAAATGATTAAGATTTTACGGTTTGTTGCCTCTTTCGCTAGTATGAAAGCAGATTAGCTGAAGCGCTGAAATAATGGAGTGAGATTATTGCGACTATGTTCGTTTGAGAGTTGATCATGAGGATTTGGAGGCATTCATACCGAAGGTCTCGGCTGTACATCGAAGCAATGAGGCGGCCTAATCCAAAAAAGTACCGGCAGTGACCATAAAGCTTTATGGATGTCCTTGAAGCTCCTTCTGAGCTTCACCTCCAATTTTTTCTCAACTTAGAGGCGCGTTTCATAATTGCTGAATGTGCATTGTGAGGATGCTCAAAATGTGCATTGTGAGGATGCTCAAAAGTATGGGTAACTTTAAATACCAGAGGAAACCAGAGACAAGAACGATTTCTTGAAGATTTACTTGAAGTAATCTGATACTTCACTTCTGTTGTAAAGTATGGGAGGATTCCGATATCGGAAACATCGACGAGGAATACATCGGCTCGTTGAACATCTTCACGATTGTGGCAGGAAGGCAGAGAGTTTGAAAGTCACCAAGGGACGTCTGTCTCCGGAAATCTCGACTGATACGCCAGCGTGGAGCCGCACGAGATGCAGGCAATCACTAATTCACGTCCGAACTATAGCCGTTCAGTGCCATCACCACCATACTTCTACAAATGGTCTAGTCCGACACACACATCGACACACATCCCGACACTCCAAGCTAGCTGTGGTATGCTAGGACGCTTATTTCAGATTTAATCGTCGCATTTCATTGTTGGCAAACACTTTGGATTACGCCAGTATCCCTATAAAGGATTTTGCCATTGTTTTTGTGGTAATTATTTGCGCTTTCAACAGTTCCCTCTACTGTCTCTTGTGGGATCGGCTGCCCAGGTCCTGCTATTTTTGAAGAAATTGGAATTGAAAAGAGTTATGAGTTCAAAAATGTACATATTTCAGCTATTCATCTATTCTTAGCACCTTTGCAACGACAACGTCCGGAATGCTTGGGAAATTCGTCGTCGCCAACATGTTCCAAATTAGCCCTCTAGGTACGCACAACTGCTACTAATCGTCTCAATAAGATGAATATGCAGACGGCATCTCATTTTTACCACAATGGCAATCGTAATCATCGCTGGGCATGCCCATCGAAACTCCACATTTGACATTTAGGCATTACGAGTAGAACCATTGATATGAAGTACTCCATCGAACGTTCCAAATTTTTTTGGAAACACATATACAATGGTCCATGCTTTTATACAACCTCTGATAGTGCAGAGGTAGCATATTTAGTACATGAAATCTGCCTATTCCAGCATATTTAGTACATGAAATCTGCCTATTCCAGTTCCATGCAGCATGTATTTGATAGCTGCGTTATACCTTGCTCAACAATCGAAACATAGCACGGAGTAGTTTCAAAATGGAAGATAATTCATCATAAGAATTTTGAGCAATGAGCATTTTGCCCAGTGGCACAGAATGCGCAACGAGCGAATTTACAATGTTTCTGTTGCAAACGGGTGAGATACACAAGCACGCATAAAAAACCTAGCTCAGATGTGCTGCGTGGGCGTAATAAGCTCGCGTTGAATACGTAATTTACTCCCAAAGCAAGAAAATATCTTAGCGACCAAAAATACAGGGTGTCCCATAAATATTGCACCAAATTTTGAGCTCAAATTCTGTAGGTGTTTATAGCTTTTCTTCCGAGATTGGCAGACCTTTCAATCCTCTATCCTCTTGTCAATGACCATGCCAAATTCCACGGCTTACCGTTCGGCCTGCATCTCATGGTGCGCCTAAACTTCAACAGAGTGCCTAACCTCTCACACAGCTAGGTCGGACATCCGGTGATGAGCATCGCGCTTCTTTGGATTTTCAACCGCTCCGCGGCCTACCGTGCACTAAAGAGAAGACCAATAAAAGTAGTCTTTGTTGTGGCCGCCCCACAAGTTCTGACATCTTGGATCTCAGGAAAAGCATGAAGAAGCGAAACGACTGCAATACCCGGGTTGGCTCGAGAAAGGTGACCAGAACGCTGGAGTTTCTAAACACAGCCATGTAGAGAGTGGTCGGATAACAACTGCTCACAGTCCATTATAAGTTGCATAAGCACCACTGCTCAATCCAACGGGAGGAGCACAGCAGAGACAAAAAGTTCAAAGAGCTGGTGTCGAGGGCCGAAAATGGCGATTACGCGGGCACCGTTTTCATCGACGACAAAATTCCTCACATGGAGCGGAGCTACAATCTTCAAACCGAGGATTTCCTCATGAGGTATTGAGAGTGAAAGGATATTCCCCACAAGCAGCAGCCGAAATTCATGATGGTCTGGACGGGGGTCTCAACATCACAGCTGTTTACAAAGGAATACAACTTGATACTAGACCGAGCCAAGGGACATTTCGGTGCACCATCTGTTACTGAGGTATCTAGCCACTTTGAGGAGGGGTGATGATCTTTTCAATAGGACCCAGCTTCTGCATAGGAGGCAAAAATTGTTCAGGAGCGCTGTTAAGGCACTCTTTCCGATTTCACATCCTCGAACGAATGGCTCTCCTATCCTTGATTTCAGCGTGCTGGACCATCCTATGTGGGCTATGTTAGAGGGCAGAGCCTGCACTAAACATTGCATCCACATGATGAGTCGGAGCCTTTCCTCTGCAAGTTTCGGAGAAAACACCCACGTTCGGAGCAGTTGTGAGCCCCAACAACAGGGGAGCATATCCAATGGATTTCATTCCTTTCAATATGTAAATGTATGCTGAAAGTTTCTTTAAGATGCATCCATTTGAAAGACGTTACAAGTAAACAAAAGTGGATACAATATTCATGGGACACCCTTTATCTAACGAGAAGAACCAGAATAAGAAAGTAGCAGTGAACGCACTGCAGGGCATAGTAAGATAACCAGAAGAGCGAGACGACGGATAAATCCATTTACAAGTACTTCTCTCGAGTTGAATGTTTTGAAATACTACTAAAATAAATGTCATGTAAAAGCACACCGGTGGCGGCGGCGCGTGCGTGTGCTGGTGGCATATGTAACAAAAGGTGGCGAAGAGGAAATGCGCAAGGTACAGCACTGCAGTAACTTTCGATACATTACGTATGTGATTATTTATCGTACTCTAACTTCACAATGCAGTAATGAGCAATAAATGCGGATCGAAATTGTGGAACAAATTCGTGTGAACTACTCAAACCGCACTCCTAGGATTTTGGTCACACGGTGTTCCTTACTCCATTTCGATCCTGAACATATGTTAAAGTACAACGCAACAGGCGCTGGCGCCAAAAGGCGTCAGCGCCTGTTGCGTTGTACTTTGAATGTCGTCCAACGATAAGAATCAAGATGAAGGCGTTGATAACGCTAAGGGAGGAACTTTAAATTTTGAAATTGAACTTGAATTGAATTTTGAAATTTCATTCAAGGAAGAAGTAGAAAGGAGCGGCTAAATCACCCTGGAAGTGGCGATCCTGGGCCAATAGTCGTATATTTCTGCACAGGCTTGGGAGAGAGTGTACGGTAGGGGAAGGAGCTGGGTGTGCCACTGAAAATGTGCAAAAAAAATTGAATGTTGATGTGAACCAAGGCATTCCACCGCTTCATACGAATAAGTTACTTTGAATGAGCGCATTATCGAAATTGTTTCGCTTGCCGCTAGAGATATCCTTGAATTTCGTCATCGTTGGAGCTGCAGAACAGAATGGCTATTCCATTTCTATTTTCACCGTCAATTGATATGCAGCATGCGCCGAATACAAGCAGGTAGGTTTAGACAAAAGTGGAAGAAGCCCTTCGCCATACTCTGTACTGCTGACGAGGAATGGTCAATTGGTCAGTCCGGCCGTTTGAAATGAGATGTAGTCCAATGGACGCGTCTTGCGACGCTGAGCTCAAATCCGTTTTCGTTATCTGCGGAACGATTCTCTGAGAGAAGTTAGGGGGGATTTTTCTCTTTGTGACTTTCCCACTGTGGCACCCTCTACATCACCTTAGCTCTTTCTTTATTTCCTGTGCAACTGCGAAAAGCTGTTTTGTTTTGATCACCATGTGAAGAACTATCACATATGCTCACGAATTATTGAAATTTTGTATATTTACGAGCCTGTGTCCTTGTGTTTTGTCCCGTGTGTCAAAGTTCATCATAATAGAAAACCTAAAAAGACGGACGAGAGGAAAATTCCAAAGTCTGTCTCAGCCACATGTCAAGTGGGGACGCAAATCAACAAAATAACCAAATATAGACACTTTTTGGGCTCGTATGAGAAGCCATGAAAAAATGCAAAAAACTTTGCGGTTCTATGGATCCGATCCTGTGACCTCCCGTGAGAGTCTAGGGAGATATCCATTAGGCCACTTTGCCAACTGTGTGAGTGCTCTCTGGCTCTTCTTATGCGAACCGTGTAGGACAGGGGAATGTAGAGGATGCCACAGTGAAAAAAGCCATAGTGAGAAGATCCCCTCGTAACTTCTTTCAGAGAATCGTTCCGCAGATAACGAAAACGGATTTGAGCTCAGCGTCGCAAGACGCGTCCATCGGACTACATCTCATAAATGGCCGGACTGACCAAGTTGAGCATTCCTCGTGAGAATACACTGCGACGCATAATTATAGTTCCACCTACAAATTTCCCAAAAACTTGAATCTGGGATGTTTTTGGAAAAGGCTCTACAGATAAATTGTGACACATATAAACGCGAATCTGAATATTAACACGGAAATCCAGTTTGAGAAAGCAACAATTTTTTATCCTTATTTTTTCGAAAATATCCGCTTTAGCTTCTCCGCTGCATTTTGCTTTTACCCAATCAAAATTTGGAATTATTATCCATTCAAGTTCCTTAGCTTATAGCAAAGGCAAAACCGCTGTCACACTTCCGTAAAAGGGAAATCCTAGCAAAAGAGACGCAGGAATTGTCAAAGTGTCAGCTCCGCTGGAATTTGTCGGGGTGACTTCATAACGAACAAATTTCTCAAGGATGCTACAGGATATGACTGGGAGGAACCCTGATTACTATCCGACTGAGATAAGCGCCGTATCGTGAGAAAATGATATCCAGCCGGGTACTGAAATTGTAGGTGGAACTATAATTATGCGTCGCAGTGTAGTGTCGAGAGTGAACGGAAAGCACAGACTGCTAACGCAAGGCGAGAGTGAATGTCCTCTCGGGAGAGCATGACTGAACGGGCCAAAATCCTTGACGAGTCGTCGAGAAGTTCTCGACCGGTTTCCACCCCGATGCGGGCGCTAATGTGCTAAAACACATGACCCATAAAAAATTATGCTCATATAGAAGATGTTCCTTATGGAATGTATGCTTAAGAGTTTGTGCTGTTTAGCTTTTACCATCTTCATGATCTTCATGTACACGGCAACACTGTTCCTCATCAACATTTTCGTGATGATCGTTCTCTACGAGTTCGAACAGGTAAATTTGAACTTGGACATTCTCCACGAAGGAAGGCGATTGCCACGGGACGGTCCTACTAGGCTTCTACGAGCGCTACAAAGCAACTTGTCTCGGTACACTAAACCCTCATCTGCCTTAACAAATTGACGACAGTGCGCGTTTTGGCTTCTTTGGCTAGTGGGACATGAGCATTTTTTCGGGCACAATCTCTGAGACGCGCAGCCGCGACTCACTGTCTGACACGGTGCGTTTCTCGGAATTTAACACTGAAAGCAATGAAAGAAGGGTACAATGGAAGTTGGGAGGGGGATCATTCCTGGCAAACAGCCTGATCTGCGCCCAGTAAGGGAGATAGTGATAACTTCAGTGAAAATAACATGCCGTAAACCAAGGGAAATATAATCGTTAAGGGAAGCTGAGGGAGCAGCTACACTGACTTTACCACGTTGATGACAGTGAGACACGCATTCGCGTCTCTCTGTGGTCAATGTGGCAATGATGGGTACCCGACAGGAGGCCCGTCGCGCGGCAAGAAGGCAGAGTCGGCGGACGAGTCGCAGCGCGTGTGTGCGATGTAGGACGTGCAGTGGGACACTCTATTTCAACTTGACGCGAAATTACTGCATACGCGCTGCGACTCGTCCGCTGACCCTTCTTGCCGCGCGACGGGCCTCTTGGCGGGAGCCCGGTAAATATAGGCAGATTTTTTCCATCTCAACAGCCAATCTATGGTATAATTCAGGGAATGAGATAGGAAAATCCTCCAAAGAGCGGGACAACTGGGATTTCCACGCGAAACTGGAGGCACATTTTTACGCATTGATCACTTACCGAATCAGATAAGGCTCCTAGATGAAGCTTTTCCCCTTCCGCTATGTGACCCAAAATATCATTCAAGCTCATTCAAGATCATCGATCTTCTGGACCTGCAAGTGTGCTTCACAATCACTGTGCTACGTTCGCCCACCATGATACCCAGTACTTCACCTCTTTGGCTAAGAACGTTTGTAGAGAAGTAGGAGATAGGCGGAAAAGGCTTGACCAGATTACGATTTCGTGCCAAATTTGCTCACAGTCGTCTCACGAGGGATTCAAAGGTAGCGATTAGTATAAACAGAAAGCGCATCGGGAAGCATATGCACCACACGAATCTGTTATCTGGCCGCCAGGGAAGCGAGGTGTAGCGCTTTCGCGAGGCAAGTTCCTGGTTGCTGAGCAGGACTTCGAAAGCACTCCGCCCCCAAAAGCGATCCGCCCACTAGTTTAGTTGGTGATTTGGACGAGCTGCGTTGCCAGCAGCGGCACAACTGGAGCAACTCGATTGGAGCGTGGTTTGGCATGTGCCACCAAACGCGTTGCGATGAACTCGTTCATACGTCCGCTTTCTGAGCTGTTACCTGTTCATGAGTGAAAACCAACGGCCAAAAAGGGGTCCCGTTTTGCGTTTTCTTGACGGAGTTTTCCATCTGGCGTACCACTGATCACCACCATGTTTCCTCTGAACCTCCTTAGTCCTTTCGTAATCGCTTCCTTTAGTTAAGTTTTTGAATAATGAACCCATCAAGTGGGTAAGGGTTATGAACTTTCAGTAAGAGCGTTTCACAGTCTTCAAGCTGTTTTTCAGGTTCGCAATGATAGCTCCAGGCAAACCAACGAATACGAAATTCTTGAACACATTCATTCGAAGGTAATGTGGAGTTGAGGCCTTTGTGCCCATTCCCCCTTACACTAAACCAAATGACACATGTTGAAGTCTGTGCGCCAGTTTCTGATGTGCTTATTTTATAAGGTTCACCATAGAACATCCTCTGAATTGTTGATGTAGAGACAACTGGAGGCTCATTCCGCTGAAAGGAAAGCGAACCTCAAATATGACGCGTTAGGGGCTGATCCATTAGTGAATAAAAAAGGAACCTTTTCATCAAAGGTGTAAATTTATTTGATGGTCTCCTCTTCTCGACGTTTGAATCAGTGAAGACATTCGAGACAAATCGCGAGAGGCCAGAAACGAACGAACGTAAGGTTATGTACATATACAGAGAGTGAGATACCTCAATCGCAAGCATGTATTGATGCTCGGTGTGCAACGATACAATCACTATGCCCCTGGCGCCCTTTCCATGGGTTTTAGTTCTGGTTTTGGGTACAACAGCCTGATTCTCAGAAATTCGGTCCCATGAAGTATTGTGTATCTAAATAAGAGAAACTGGCTCAAAAGGCTGACTTCGTTGATGTTACAGGCACGGGTCGGGATCGAATTGGTGTGACATTTTCTTTGAAAATTGGGTAGGAATGCACTGAAGAATGTAGGTAAGGAGAAAAAGCAAAAAGCACCATAGAAAACACTGAAATTTTCCTCCGGTCGTGGTACGACGGAGAGACATAGCGCTGCGAGGAAGAGGTGAAATCGCGAGAGAGCACGTTGTACGCGAGAGGGTGCAAGCACCTACATATGCACCAACACCTATGCCGCGATTGATAAGGATAGCAGCACGGCAGCACACAAGGCAAGGCCTCATCGCCGCTTTCGAGTCACGACAAGTCCTGAGCTTGAAGATCCCTCGTTCTCACTCTAGGAGAGACTGACCCTTGGGACTTGGAGACCTCTCAATCTCAGGCACTGACTCTTGGGACTCAATCTCGACTCGTGGCTTCAAAGGCACAATGCATGCGGGAGTCAAAAGCTACTTTGTTCGGTCTGTAGGATAGACCCTAGAGGACAATCACAGATGTGGCATTCCCGTGCACGGAAATCACCAACAAGAGCGCTAGGGCCTTGCAAAGTGAGCTGCAGCAGCTGCAATTTTTCTTTATCAGGCTGTTGTCTGGCGCCCTCTCATCTGTTGCGCTCTCTCGCCTCATACTCTCCTCTCCGCGCTTAGTCTCTCATTCCCTTAGCACAGCCGATTGGAAGGTGAGTGAGCCCTTAACCTGAGCGTTTTCGACGGATTCTTTTCCTTTTTTCTTCACTGCCGGCCCATTTTGCAACATTCGTATTCGTGTGCAAGAGCCACACCTTTTGATCCTGGGGCATGCCTTTAAGTGCGATTTGCCCTCGAATAGTTCCAGAACGAGCCGTGATTTTATGTAATTGCGATAAATAAGGTTATGTTTAATTCGGACACAAATTTTGAATTACTATGGAGGCCAATCTCAACAGGAAAGGGCCTAACGAAGCATTTTTTCAGAAATTGCTCTAAAAACCCCTCCACTACTAAATTATTTTTAGCATGGTAACATGAATCTAGAGATTTTTAGATCATGCGCACATTCGGACTTTATCGTCGTCAAGATATGCCAGCATACTATGTACCAGACACTTTGAAAGATTCCCATCTTCTGAATACCCTGGTGTCCAAGGTAGGTGTGAAACGGGATCCTTTGTTTCCATGTTTACAATGTTCTAAGGGAGACAGTTCTGTATTCAGACAGACCTGCTGCTCCATCGAGCATACAGATGGCGGGTTGAAGACGACGACGATGATGACATGATAATTCCAAGACCTAGAGCACAGGATCTGCCTAGAGATCCCTGGTGAAATGATCTGAATAACAATCACAACAAAATTCCTTTTTCGCTTGTCAATTGTTTATTTTTGTTCTGGAACTTGCTAGTGTCAAATAGTTTGTGCTAAAGTAAAGCGCTTCAATGAAGTCACCGCTTCACTGAAAATGAAAATGAATTGCTCAGACCTTACGGAAAACTGACCAACTGCCACAACAACGTCAGACGTTGTGAATGAAACAGCATTCTGTTTAAGTTTACGTAAAGTCATTTGGCAGGAGATTTGACCATCGGTTAAGCCGGTTTCAAAGAATGTCACAACCCATCTTCCCCATCTGCTCTCAGGGAACTCGACACGACCCATAACCACCATCAAAAATCAATTTTGAATGTCCCCGGCCAACTCTCCTCCCCTCTTCTTCCAACCTATCCTAAGCGTATACTTGCCTTCATGGCGCTGTTTACATATGTGGTATTCGATTCTGAAAGAGAAAAGTTGACACACTCCAACTTCGTCAGACCCCCCCCCCACAAAAAAAAGCCCGTCGAACGAATGGGAAGGGAAGGTACAAACATGTATGAAGAAAGGACAAATGCTCTCATGCGACTTCCCTGAATTTCCACCAGAATTGTCAACAAACCCCTGAACGACCTCCTCTCCCCTCCACTGCAACACACCCCCTTATCCAACTTCACATTTTGACTACCTTTAGTAAGTAAATACAGGTGCAACCATCCTTCCACCAGCATCACCAACATACAAAAGCCAAAATACGACCCCTCTCGTCTCAATGGCAATGAAACTCGGATGTGATCATATCGTGGCCATCCCTGTCTACAATGTCTCCATTAGTCTGACAGAAAGGTCCCGGCGACGCTCTTCTTGTCTGTAACTCTGAGGCTTATTGTTGGTCACAGGAATCCTTACTATTTCGCTGTATCGTAGCAGTTTCGAAATAGAGTAGCACAGGGGACTAAGCCTTGCAGAGCAAGCCGGACAAAGCGCTGCGCCGTCGCGTGGTCCCCCCCCCCTACTTAGTCAGCACCCATATATTAGGATGGTAAGAAATCCTGAGCCTTTGACTCTTTTTTGTGGCTTTATTTCTTACCAGATTAGTCCCCCGTCAACCGCCGGGACCTTCCTTTCCTGCGCAAGCTTTCTATCCTCCGCTATGGTCCCTTCCTCCTGTGACACCAACACCTCCTGGAAGTGACGCGTATGCAACACAATGGTGTTTCATACAGTAGAAGGGACACAATCATGATATGACGGTAGATTTTTCGCTTCCCTTCCTCATCCTCCCTTCCTCTCTCCACTGCCCTCCAGCTGCCACTGCAGCACCATGTGGAATGAACGGAAGTGTGCTAAGCAGTGTGTTTATATAGCCTGAGGCTTATTCACAACTAATCTCTACTAAGACATTAAACATTGATATCTCAAATCCTGTAAGCTACCCGATTTGTTAGCGGTTTGTTTATCCCATGAGCTTCCTTCTCACTCACTTCATTTTGCGGACGGACACACATACATACACACACGCACACACACACACATACAGATACACAAACCGACACACAAAGTTAGCGCTTTATATAATAGAAGGATTCCGCGTACAATGGAATCTACTCAACAATATAATCACCATTGTTACTCACTACAGAGTCCCACCTAATGGGCAGGTCAGCGACCCCCTTCTCCCAGAACTGAGCAGACTGAGAGTCAAAGAAATCGCTGACCGCTCTTTCAACGTCTTCAACTTTGGTGAATTTTTTCTTCGCTAGGAATGCCTTAAGGGGATGAAATAAGTGAATCAGAGAGGGCAATGTCAGGGGATAGGGTGGGTGGGGAACCGCGTCCCAGATCAGCTCTTCCAATTTTGCACGGGTCTCTTTAGCTATGTGGGGCCTGGCGTCATCGTGGAGTAGGTGGACAGAAGTTCGTCTCGGTCGTTTTTCTTGAACAGCGTCCGCTAGTTTCTAGAGCTGACTGGCGTAAATGCTGCCGGTAGCGGTATGTCTTTGCGGGAGCACCTCATCAAGTACAACATTCCTCACGAATCCCAGAGGTAGCAAAGAAGACAGTTTTGGGGTGAAGGTCCGATTTTGCTTGTGTCGGGGGTCTTCTCCTCGAGGGAGCCACACGGCACTGTGCTTGTTAGAATCGTAGAGGACCCAACTCTCATCTCTCGTAATCATGCCTTCCAAAAACTCCTTTCGGTGCGGACAAAGAAGGAGAAACTGACAAATGGGTACCCGCCTGAACCGCGTGCTATCGGTCAAGACATGAGGGATCCATCGAGTCGGCACATTTTCCTGTGGCGAGGGCGTGGAAGGGGACTGAGGACTGTGGGATGGGTGCACCTGAGTCTTATAACAAGGCTGCGGGTGCTAACCTCCGGATCCTCTTCGACAGCGCCGAGAACGGTGGAAGTCTTCCCTGTTTGGGGGCTTCCCCAACCTTGACTTGCTTTCGGAAGCCGTGTCTCCTCCTTTCGAAGCCTGCGAACCAGAGCTTGGCACTGATGATGGAAGTGGTGTCCCTTCCCAATGCGATGCTGATAATGTTGACGGTTCCCACTGCTCCTGTGCCGCAGCGCCATTCATTGAAGATGATCGCTCGAAGGTGCTTGTGGAATCGACGTCACTATTAAAGTTAAAGAAGGCAACCCGGCTACAGATACCTACTGCGGAGAAGTATGATCGACAGCGATAATCTATCACGTAGCAGATTCTAGGTATCAATCAATAAGCGAAAGTTCTGGAGCTTTCGAAAAATCGGCTCAGGACTTTCTTACCATCCCAAGTACTAATGTATCTTGATATTGCGAACAGTTGCGCGCAGAGCACTCACGAGCCCTCGCTGCGGCAAAGAGGCAAACTCAAGCGGACGCACTCGGCCGTTCCCGCACGATTGGGATTCGCGCTTTGAAAGAGTTTCCATTTTGCACGCCCTGCGTCGCCACACACGCGCTGCAACTCGCGAGAACCTCTGCCTTTTTGCGCCCGCCACGGTAGCTCCGGGAGTACCCAAGTAGTTTGCATCATCACCTTCTATTACTCCTTTTTATCTTCGTGTTCACCCTAAAGAAAAGGAAGTAAGCAAACCAGCCCTTTTGGCGTTTCTGCTGGGGCCGTATGCTGAATGTTGGGGAGGGGATGGGTCCCCGACGGTCGACGGACTACTTCAACTCGGTCCTTAAAACCGCCTCAATTTGATGCTTACCTCAGAACTAAGCCTTAAAGAGAGGACGGGTCCGTCCCTCTCTCCAAGGCTTAGTCCTGGGGTGAGCAAACCAGCCCTTTTGGCGGAGCTGCTGGACCTAGCTGCATCACTCTCCTACCGTACCGACCGAGTTCAAGTAGTCCGTCGAGCTCGGGGACCCCATCTCCTCCCCAACATTCAGCAGCCCCAGCAGAAACGCCAAAAGGACTGGTTTCGCTTACCTCAAAGGAATGAAATCGAGGGAAATCCCTTCGGGTTTCTAGTTAATTGTTAGCAGCTCTCCGATCTTAGTTGATGGTGCATAAAATATCCAATGTTATTAGACGTGAGAATGACTTAAGGCCTGAAGCATCATTTTATTTATTCATTTGGTAGATCATTGGTAGAATAAAGTCTCGGAAGTTGTTCATCAACTAAAATAGTTTACTCAAAGTTCACGAATCGATTATTTTTATCGAACCAAAAATGAGGATTTACATTTGTTATCTTTTCATATCCTTTAATTTGGGCAAATGGTCGGATGTGGAATGAGTCACCGCCGCCGAGCTGGAGCCTTTCTTCACTGGTGACGTCCTACTCGAACGAACCGCGTTCGCTTCGGCCGCTGCTGGCAACATCGTGGTAGCGACCTTCGTTGGGTAGCTTGCGTGTGCCTCCTGGAAACACTATTATATGCCTGAAAAATGAACTAGGATTATTCCGGAATGTCGAAATTACCGTTGCTTCTCGCCTCCATCTGGTCTTCCTGTCGACATTCTGCACTTCACTCCTCGCACACGTAGGTGTACGAATCGTGCCGCCCATTCGCCTGCCTCAGCGTCCAGTAGCGGGTCTATAGAATAATATTCTCACATAGAAGAGAAACAGATATGGTGCACGCAAACCGTTCATAGGCACTCCTTCATAGAGGCGAGCGTCCAACTCTGTAAGAAACCCGTGATGCGAATCCCTCGATGTATTCGGTTCGCTGTAGATAGATTCGCTCCAGCGGGACATATCTGTCGGAATCGTTGATACAAAAGGCTAATGGAGTGCTCATAGTTGGCGATCGACGTGAGATTAGGCGATCAGTGGGCGAGTGGTCGACTAGGCGAGTAGGCGGTAGGCGATAAAAGAATGATACGCATTGGTTTGTTGCTCCGCCCGTTAAGCGATCGCCCATTCGCCTACTCGCCTACTCGCCTGATCGCCTAATCGCGTAATCGCACGTACCATCGCCAACTATGAACACTCTATAAACACTCTTTTGAAACATAGATCAACGGTAAACAGAAGATGGATGTTTTGGTGAGTACTTTTTATACGGAGGCGCTAAAGTACAGGAACTTGGAAGAAAAAACTTCAAGTTTCAAGGCAATGTTCAGGATTTCTGATCGGAATTAAGCCTTTCCAGAGAATTGCGGTTGCGCGCAAGCGTGACATCGTGCACCAATATCGGGATGACCTGGCAAGGCTGAGAACCTAAGGCCTTGGGATGCAGCATTGGCCACGCCCATCACCATTAAGCCCGCCCACGAATCAATGCTGCTTCGCTGTTAGTGGAGAGGGGAACTTATTCTCGTCCTTGTCGATTTTTCCCATTTTCATTACTATCTTACTCTTCACACCCATACTGTCACCTAAAGAATAATAACACATCGGTTTGATCCCGGACTTCGCCTTTAGTTGGTATCTAATCATCTCATCGATTCTGACTGTAAACAATAAATTCACTGCTCACAATGAGCCATATAAATTTAACTTAGACTTCAACGCTCCACCAGTTCGGTAATCGTGATCAAGTAATTAGATACAGCAAGTCATTTCAGACA